TTTCGGACGTTAGGACCTTGATGCCTTTGTGACCTGGGACCCAGTAGAAGTGAAGTTGCTTACCTCTGACAACACTTTCTGCAGCTGCCCTGCTTCCGTATACACTTCTGGCCATTGCTTTCCGGTAGGTGGACTTCCGTAAGCCTGTCCACCATACCACTGCACAGTGGTGTTTTACAATTACTGTGTAGCACGAGGTCACGAGAGAGGGAAAAGGACATCGGTTGTGTCGAGCGTCTGCTTACACGCATATAAAGCATTGATTTCTTAATCTTTCATCCACATTGTGCTTTCGCAGCAGTTTGCTGTCCAAACCTACCCGAAGGTATTTGTTGCGATCCTTGAGAGAGAGTTGTATTCCACAAGCAAGCCGTTGATTTTTATATAGTAGGTATTCTCCTCTTAATTCTATGAATGGTGGTAAGCACCTTCAAGCTCTGCAGGGGATTCGATTCAGATATCTTGGTGCTGACAGCATAGATACTTCGGAAATATTGAAGATTATATAAGTTTATCCCTTTCAGTTTTAATGGAGCTTACAAACATCTAGTCCTTATCTTGTAGCTGAGCTTTAGTGAATGAAAAGTTTTTAATAGAGACAGCCATGCGTAAAAACCTTTATTTTATGTTACTGAATATCTTATTTGAATCAATGAATATTGCTCTTGATGTGGCTATGACTTCGAAAATATAACGATTCAGCACAACTAAAAATGTTCCATAATTTCCAAACTAGTTGTTATAAAATTAGGTGAAATTTAAAACGCACCCTCCATCAGAACATAAAAAAATTGGAAAGGTTCTCAATTTACAAATAAGTACTTTTGTTACTAGTTACTGTAAAACTAACTGAAAATTAAATACAATTTCGTTAAAACTTGGAAATTAGTTAGGAAACTTACAAAACTAGTTACTTTGCTCTTTTAATCTATTTTCTTTTGGTCCAGTCACTTTTGGACCAGTTCATTTTGTAACTAGTTACTTTCGGATCAGTTGCTTTTAACTTACTTACTAACTTACTTTTGGAGCAGTTGCTTTTAAACCAATTAATTTTAATCCAATTATTTTGGACCAGTTTTTTCCACTAATTACTGCAACCAGCTACTTTTAGTTACTTCAGAACTAGTTACGATCAAAAATTAATTAACAGTTTTTTGCATAGCCGTCAAGATTTGTTTTGTTTTCAATGAATTTAAAAACATTTATGTATGTATTTCGAATACTTTTCCTCTATATGCCTTTGTGACAGGCATATAGATGTTTATTCCTCTTCATAGCGGAAAATTTTTCACACTGGCTTATTTGGTTGTCTGCTTTGTTTTTGATTCCATTTCAGCCTTTAACTATAATATGTTGTAGCTGAGAGGCTTGTCTGGAGGCCAGAACTTTGTACGCCAAGTTTTTTATTTTCTTCAACTTATGAGTTGAAGAGGTCACTGCGTGTATTAATCGCTCTGCACATTTGTATTGTAATCATCTCATAGATTTTCTTATGATTTGCTGCTCCCTGCAGCA